GAATGGAAAAATATATTGACGTTTTAGTGAGAAGGAATTAACTAACAGAGGAAATCTGTTTTCAGAAGGAATTAACTCAGAGGTAATCTGTTTTCAACTAAGCAAAGAAAATGGTTTGGTTAGGCTCCATAGAGATATGGAGTAATTATAGTGAGAAGGAATTAACTCAGAGGAGTTAATGAAAGGTTTAGGTTAGTTGTGTGTTATGAACCACACAACTGAGTAATGAGCTACCTAATCTGCCTTGAATCAAGCCGCTTTAGGGTTTAAATTTTAGTCACTCACATATAGGTTGTCTCCATCACCATCAATTAGCAATAAGTTGTATTTTTCTGTTTTATTTGTAACTTAGTTAAGCTTTCATCAATTTTCTTAAGTTTTATTAACTTTTTACACTAAGAAAATGTAATCAGAAAGTTACACAATGTACCAGTTACCTAACAGCTTTTACGCAAGACCAAAACTCAAGACAAAAATCAATCACCAAGTTATACTTCTGTTTAACTAAACATTTACTTGAACAAGTCCATCACCATCAATTAACAAAATGTAATCAGAAAGTTACCATAATCACCAAAACTCATAACCAAACATCATTCACCAAGTTATACTTCAGTAACTAAACATTTACATGAATAAACAAATGAAAACCTATAAATAAATCACATAACACCAAAACACTAAAATATTTTAAGCACCCGAAAGAACACTAACCTGACAAAGTCTGTCAGTTTGATTCAGCTACAATGGTGTTGCTAAAACATCATACATATTGAAACGGAGGGAGTAGTCAACTATATTATTATTCTTAGCTAACTACGAAAAAAATTATGTTATTGATCAAAGTAAATATTTATAGGGATTTTTAACTACTCTCTTTTAAATTTTTTGTAGGGGGCAAATTTGTCAAAAATTTTCATCTCTTTTAGTTACCTAAATTCTATTATACATATGTTATTTCGCTAATTCTATTATAATTAAGTTAACTAATATTCACCTAATTAACTCTAGTAACAAATCATTAGAGTTTGGAGTTAGTTACCAATATATACATTTTAAGATATCCAATTGAAGAAGGCCTCGGATGAAAAAAACGTAGAGAGTTGAGGAAGAGACTGTCAAATTGATCTGATTAAGAAATCTATCACGGTGGGTGAGTTAGTTTGTGTACAAATGCAGATTTTATGGAAGAGCGATTCAAAGAACTATTTAGATAAGGTCGAAAGGGATTTGATTGGGTTCTGATTAAGAAAGATGTCACGATGGATGAGATTTTTTTCTTTTTCTTTTTGATCCTCGTGTTTCCGTCGTCGTGGAGTATGTTTATCGATGGATTTCTCATGAAAGGGATTTTACGTGAAGATGAAAGAGATGATGATTGGACAAGAAAATGAAAAAGAGCGTGCTTCATAATCAAGGTTATGAAGTTGAAGAGAGGGGAAAATAAAAGAAATATTGTTGTTCATTAGAAGAAAAAAAGATAGAAAAGTAGTCTTCTTCATATTGGCCTTTG